ACGCCTGGGGCAGAGCAGCTGGAGTGCTGCCGGGTTGGTCCCGCAGCGCCGAGGGACGGCGCTGTGGGACCAACCCAGCAGCACACCGGCTGCTCTGCTCTGTGCCTCTTCCCCAAGTCCGCTTCTGGTCAGTTTCAGCAGCGACAGCAGCGGACTTGGGAAAGCGGCGCGAAGCAGCTCCAATTGTCCGGCTGACCGGAGCACTTCCGGGTTCCGGTTGGTGCCGGACTATCGGGAGTGCTGGACCACTGGATGCCGGACAATTGGAGTTTTACTGTATAAAGCTCTTTTTCTTATACCTCCAAACATGGAAGGTCCATGATCATAAGTTGGGCGATCAGGCTTTCGTTCGTATGATGGTCTTTCAAAGCCCCCTCGCCTTGAAGAGGGATGATCTTTTTTGTCACGGTAAGACTGAGTCCTTGAAGGTCCAGTTGGAGGTGCCCTGCCAGAAGAGAGCGCATTTTGTATAAGCTCTAGGATTTCAACTATAGAAGCAGTGTTCTGAATTCACAATCAGTATGTCCTTCCAGAAAAACTGACAATTAATAGCACTTAATACAGCATCAAACAAAGCGGATGTAACAATGATACAGCTCAGGGGTTGGCAATGTATGCACGCATGCCATACGTGGCGTATGAGACGATTATGACTGGCACGTGGCCCAGCCTGCGGGGCTGCATGGCTAGCAGCTGCCCTGTGTGCTGTGGTTAGAGCCGGGTCGTGGCAAGGCTGTCTCCGCCGGGGCAGTCTCATCATGGACCCAGTTCCTGCTCTGCAGCACTCTTATGACTCAACCAGCAGGACTATGTGGCCAACAGCTGCTTCAGGGGGTGGCTGGGCCATATGGCAGAGTGGGGCTGTTCTGGGAACAGCTAGGCGGCATGGGGGAGTGGGGCATCCTGAGCCAGCTGCCAGGGGTAGGCTAGAGCCGGGCTGGGATATGGTGGCCATGGGGAGGAGGGGAGCTTACTCTGGGTGAGTGAGGGTGAGAGCTGCCTAGGCTGCAGCTCCAGGGCTGGGCGGCAGTGGCCGCTGAGGGGGAGAGGAAAATGTGCCCTGCCCCAAATCCGTGTTGGCCCCTGGGCACCTGGGTTCCTGGCAGAAAGGTGAGGGCTCCATGGACCCCGCTCCTATCAGGGTAGAACACCCCAGGGTCCTCTCCTCAGCCACCCTGCCTCACCCATTTTCCTGAACACTCCATCCGCCCACACCACCCTGACCCCAGCCCATGCTGGCAATCCAGTATCATGCCCCCACAAGATTGGAGTCAGCACTGGCTTCCTGCAGGGGGTGGAGGGAGCCCCCAAGCTCTGCGACACATCCAGTTTCCAGGGAAGTGCGCATGTGCTGCTCCCTCCCCTCCCCTCTCCTCCCCTTCCCTCCCCATGGAAAAAGCTAGAGCGTAGCCTAGGGCAGGAGACCAAGCAGGGTGTGTGGTGGAGAGAGCCCTTCCCATGAGAGTGGCGTGGCCCAGGGTAGGAGAGTTAAATCTTGGTACGCCATTTCAGCTTGTCCTGTATTTCATACCTGTCCTCTCGAAGATGGCGTTCTTTCTCAAATCTCTCTCGATCATAGTCACCTGAGCCTCGGTCTCTGTGTGGTTCCCGCTCCCTTTTAAAATCTCGGTAATCTGTGTTTGTATTGCTTTGACGCTCAAAGTAAGACTCACGATCCCTCTCTCTACTGTAACGATCTCGCTGGCCTGGATGTTCTGAAAAGAGAAATCAGCACACTCTCTCCAGCATGGAACAATAGTCTAGTGGTCTCAGCTATCCAAAAGATGCATGCCTACCTTTCTCAAAGGATATCAAAATTAGCCAAGGAGTATATCTACCTTTTGGAAATGGCTGTCTCTCAGGAAGAGGTTCTGGACGCAGAGTTATTCTCTCCCCATAGGGGATTTGTTCAACTTTACTGGTAGTTATATCTGGTAAAGAAATTTGACAAGAAAATAATTAAGGACATTGTCGCTAATTGCATCCATCATCCACCTCCATCCCTAATTAACAGCAATAACATAGTAGCATTCAAAATTATTAGAGGCTAACTGGGCCTAAGTATATACAGTAAAACTCCAGTTCTCCGGCATCCAGTGGTCCGGCACTCCTGATAGTCCAGTACCACCTGGAACCTGCAAGTGCTCCAGGCAGCCGGACAATTGGAGCTGCTCTGCCCCAGGCTTCCCCGAGTCAGCCGCTGGTCAGTTTCAGCAGAGGCTGACTTGGGGACGCCTGGGGCAGAGCAGCTGGGGTGCTGCTGGGTTGCTCCAGTAGCGCCCACCCAATCCCTTCCACCCCACCCCAGAACCCTCAGAGCCCCCCCCTTCCAATAGTCCGTCATATCTGAAAATCCGGCACCCCCTGGGTCCTAAAGGTGCCAGATTATCGGAAGTTTACTGTTTTAGTGAATGCCACATGAGAAATGTTTGTGCTACATTAATGTTAACTGAATAGCACTGAGAGAAACAAACAACTCACATGAGAAAAAGCTAGTTAATTTTTAAATGACAAATTTGAGGAACTGTTCCAGACTGAGGTTTCATTAGAGGTGGTTTTGGAACAAATTGATAAACAATAATAAATCACCAGAACTAGATGATATTCACCCACAAGTTATAAAGGAACTTAAATGTGAAATTGCAGAATTATTAACTGCAGTTTGTAGCCTATCATTTCAATCGGCTTCTGTACTAAATGACTGGAGACGGGGGATAAAAATAAATTATTTTTAAAAAATTATGAAAATATTTTAAAATTTAAATCAGATTTTTTATTATGTAGTCATCAAAATACTAAATTTCTCATTTAAAAGTAATAGTTACAGTTAAATTTTATCACAAACATTCTATACCTACACTTAGCGTCTCATAAAAATAAATTAATGGATCTAGTCTGTGCAGCCCTAACAACCAGCTCTTTTTTCTTGAAAGTTCTGGGCTTTCAATTCCTGCTTCTAAACAGACTAACATGTACAAAGACAGACACAGATGGGATAGGACTATTTTTTTCTGTACTTATGTAGTGGTGGTGGACCTGGGCCAAGCACAGCAGAGTTAGTTAAGACACTGTCTAAAGACAGACACACAATATATAGGAAAGGATGGAGGCAGCACAGAAAAGAACAGTGGAGTGGACTGGAAAGAAAAAGGGAAAACATTATTCAGCACACACACAGCTTCTCATATGCCCCTACACTTTTGCCACATGGCTTCTGGGCATAAGAGAGACCCTATCTGGGAATATTTTGAATACATTTGTTCCCAGGGTAAAAAAGGAAAAAGTGTCAAGTGTAAGCAGTGCAAGAATATAATGCAGGGTTTACCTGCAAGAATGAAACGCCATAAGAAAAAACTGCTTATTGGGAGAAAATTATGTGGATGAAGATATGGCTATGTCTGAAGAACTGTGCATATCAACTTTGTAATGCATCATTCTTTGAGACTCTCTCTATGACTTTTAGTACAAGTGTGATTTAACAATAAAATTTCCACGCTGCTTACTATGTCACTAGAAAAAAGTTTAGCTGATGTTTATGGCTTGTTTAATTAGTTAACTAGGTTTAGAATCCATCACCCAAGTATACAATGAGAAAGCTGCAGAAAGAGAAATACAGAGTTCCTACTCTGTCATTTTTAAATTGTATATTACATAAATACATGCCTCTGATTTTGGAACATCATGGTCACAGACCATAATGGTGATGCCACAAGTCTGTTCCCTATTTTACTTCAGCGTAACTCAGTTTTCCCAAAGGAACCCCATACTATATTGTTTTCAATGGGCTTACTCCAAAATTAAGAGCACTCTAAACACAGTCAGTCTTATCTTTTTTGGGACCTTGGAACCAGATCTGCATCAAAATGGCACTGGGAATGGGGAAGACAAGAGCAAGTTGTAGAAGTCTTAAGAACACCATACAGTTAGTGTTCTGAGGACTTGTCTGTTAGTTAATCAAATTTGAAATTAAAAAAAAAAAAAGGTTTTAAGGACAGCTGTCAGCCAGCAATTCATGAGACTGCTGCAATTGGAAATGTGGAACATTTATGTGACATTTAATATAATAAAATATAAGTGCTAGTGTATTTGTGTGTATAATTTAGTTCTTACCATTACTGATGTACTGCTGCTGCATCTGCAGCTTGAAACAGGTAATGAATATTATATACTACTCCCTAAATTAATAAAAATCAAGTTATCTAAAAAAGGCGACAAACCATACCTTCTTAGATATTGTAAAATGGTGTATTGATCTGTAAATGAAGATGTTTTAGAGATGAGATTTGCACCACTGTTTAAAGAAATACGTAAATAGGTATCAATAAGAAACTTAATTTAAATCAATAGTTTTGATGATTTAAACTGTAATTTAAATCCATTATTTAAATCAATCCACCCTAATTAGAGGATGGCTACTGTGATACTAATTTTTAAAAACAGTTCTAGAGCTAACCCTACCAATTACAGACCAGTAAGCCTTATTCCAATATGGGGTAAACTGGTTGAAACTACAGTAAAGAACAGAATTGACAGACATATAGATTAACATAATATGTATAACAAATGGTCTGGTAGCACTTTATAGACTAACAAAACATGTAGATGGTATCATGAGCTTTTGTGGGAACAGCTGAAGAAGTGGGCTGTGCCCAGGAAAGCTCATACCACCATCTACATGTTTTGTTAGTTCATAAAGTGCTACCAGACCATTTGTTATTTTTTTCTGTACAGACTAACTCGGCTACCCCCTGAAGCTTCTGAATAATTTGTTATGTTAATGTGAAGAGTCAATGTGGCTTTTGTAAAGGGAAATCATGCCCCACAAATCTACTGTAATTCTTTGAGGGAGTCAACAACTAGGTGGACAAGACAGATCCAGAGGAAATAGTCTCCTTAGATTTTCAGAAAGCCTTTGATAAAGTTGCTCACCAATGACTCTTATATAAAGTAAGCTGTCATGGAATAAGAGGGAAAGTCCTCTCATGGACTGCTAACTGGTTAAAAGATAGGAAACAAAGGGCAGAAATAAATAATCAGTTTTCAGAATGCAGAGAAGTAAAAAAGTATGTCCCATAGGCAGGGCTCGACAATGTATGCAATCTACTTGCCCATGGCAAGTAGATTACAACCCAGAAGAGCCGGGTTCAGGCGATCTGTGCATGCACAGAACAATCTGCGCATGCACTGATCGCCAGACAGCGCAGCTGGCGAGTGGGGCTTGCCCCGGCTTGGCGAGCCCTGCCCATAGGGATCTGTACTAGGAACCGTATTATTTAACATATTCATAAATGATCTGGAAAAGAAGGGTAAAGAATGAGGTGGCAAAATCTGAAGATAATACAAATTATTCAAGGTAGTTAATCCAAAGCAGACTGCCAAGAGTTACAAATAGTTATCACAAAACTGAGTGACTAGGCAACAAAATGGCAGATGACATGCAAAGTAATACTCATGGGCAAACATAATCCCAATTATACATATAAAATTATGGTCTAAATTAGCTGTTATCACTGAATAAAGTTCTGATAGTCACTGTGATAGTTCTCTGAAAACATTCACTCAATGTACACCAGCAGTAAAAAAGCAAACAGAATGTTGGGAATCATTAAGAAAGGGATACATAAGACAGAAAATATCATACTGTCCCTATATAAATCCATGGTACATTCACACATTGAATACTGTGTACAGATAAGGTCACCCCAGCTCAAAAAAGATAAATTGGCGGTAAAAGTTTCAGAAAAGGGGAACAAAAATGATTAGGGGAATGGAAGAGTTTCCATTTCAATGAGATGGGGACTTTCTATAGGTTGAAAAAAAAAACCACTAAGGGAAGATATAATAAAGGTCTAGAAAAAGCATGAAGAGTGTAGAGAAAGTAAATAAGGAGTTTTGTTTATCCCTCATAACACAAGAACAAAGGGTCACCAAGTGAAATTAAAAGGCAGCAGATTGAAAATAAACAAAAGAAGCATTTCTTCATACAATTCAATCAACCTGTGGAATTATTTGCCAGAGGATATTGTAAAGGCCAAGACTGTAACAGGGTTCAAAAAAGAACTAGATACATTAATGGAAGATAGGTACATCAATGATTATTATCCAGTATGTACAGACAAAAAGGTACTCCCTAGCTATATTACAGTTAAGTTGATGTCTACATTTCTGTTTCTAGGTGTATGCCACTGAAGGCCATTGGAGAAAAACAGATCTGCAGTGAAGTTCTTTTTATGTTGTTCTATTATTAGAATAGAATCTGACTATTTTGCAGAAAAATATAGTGCACCAGAAACCTGAGTTCCTAGGAGAGTTTAAATGTTCGTGGCTCAAATACAACACAAAATTTCATCTCAGAACGGTGTATTTTCAAATTTTTAATTAAAAATATTTTTACTTTGTCTGCTAAATGTTTTATATCCATGAAACTTCAAATACAGCAGGTCTTTATAGAATTTGTATAATTCACAGCAGCTGTGATTTTTAAAAGTTACGTTTTTCTTAAAAAGCTAGTTGTTTCAAGACTGAAAGTTTTGTAAGTAGAAGTAAATAGTCAAGTGTTCTAACTGAAATTAATTGAAACATCTCTTACTTCAGCTGAAATTATAGGAAAGGGAGTTTAACCATCAAAAGCTGAAATATATTGTACACTGTACATGCCAATGGAAAGAAAGGAGGAAGTGATTCAAACAGGGACAGCTGCTGGGGGAATAATGACACACATACATCTTCTCTTTCTTTCTCAGTAATGATTTCTGGCTGAAGAAACTACGGACAGCAGCACAAACTAGAAGTTTACAGTTTTGGAGAAGCCTAAACCACAAACAGGCAGGCACAGATTGGGACTGTGGGAAGTAGTCGGTTAGGGCACAGACAATAAAGGGATCTTTTTTTCTTTTCTTTTTTTAAATGGCCCCATTTTATTTATTGTCATAGCTAATAGCCTGTTTCTGGATGTTTTATAGCCTAATTAAAAAAAAAACCCAAACAAACCCCTTTCTCCCACAAACAAACAAACCCCCTCCCTCCCTCTCTCCCTTCCACTCACTCACTCCCCTCCATAAAAGTACAAATTGTTTTAAAACTGAACTGGTGGGTCATTTTCCCAAGGCAATGTATTTCCCAGTTTAGATCTGGGATGCCTCCCACTTTGCAGGGTCCTACATTCCATGCTCCAGTCTGAGTTTGAACATCTACACCAGTGTTTCTTAAACTTTTTAAGACCAAGGAACACCAAACAGTGCTTTTTTTAAATGGGGAACACCAAGAATTTTTTGTTGAGGAATAAAAGGTCAGGGGGAAAGTTATTGAGAAAAAAAAAAGGTCTCCTGCCCTTTTAAGGGAGGACATTTTGAATTCTGTTGTTCTCCACGGCATACCTCCGACTGCCTGTGCCGCGGAACACCGTTTAAGAAATGCTGATCTACACCATTAGAAAGCCCCTTAGCCAGCTCAGGTGTGGATTTTTAATTGCAGTGTAGCCATACTCTATACTTGTGTCAGAGATATCTGCATCCAGACAACTGTAACTAAAATAGCCAGTTTAGACTCCAGTCACTTTTCAAGTTGTTTTTAATAAAATGTTGAAATTATGGGATCCTGTCAGCTCCAAATAAGTATTGATAAGTTGCAGAGACAATAATGACAGATAGCCCACAACACTCATTGCAATGGTAACTGCATTTATAGCAGAATCTCTCTTTTTAAAGTTGGGTAAAACCGGGGAAATAAACGCTCACTAAAAGCTCCATATCAAATTTTAACATTAGGAAAATCAGTATTAAATCTGAACCCCACCCATCATTCTACAGAAGTCAATTCACTATCTAAGTTGTAAACTCTTGAGGGAAAGGAATTTGTCTTCATTCTTGCTTGCAGAAGACATCATATACTTTAGGCAATACACAGACAAATAAAAAAAGAACAATAACATTACATGTTCTACTCTAAAGGTTCAAAGAGTGGTTCATTTTATTATAGATGATCTAATAATCAGCTAAAAAGTCCTGGTTTAATGCAGAGTATCTGTATTACACTAGTTACAATACAGTGGCTTCTGGCCAGGCAGCCCAGCTCTGAAGGCATCTCCATTGCCAGCAAAAACTCAGGACTGAGAATGGCATGGTATCAGGGGGAGAAGCAACTCATCACTCAGAGAGTGGAGGTTGGGCAGGACTAGCCTTCCCGTAAGCAACAGGCTAGGGCGCTGTGACCACATACTATGTTCCTCCACCCCTGCTGCTCAAGGTCCCTTTAGCCCTCAAGTGCTGAGCCTGGAAATGAGGAGAAGCAGGGCAGGGAATGCCCCAGCTGTGGGGTTGCTATGGTGTACATGGGGCCAGCTGCTAGTTCTGGCCAAGCTGGGGGGAGGGAGGAGAGGGGGAGATCCATTTCCCCTAAAAAGGCTGATCTCATGGTCAGATCCAGAACCACCTCTGGAAACCTGCCCTGGTTGCAGGAATTTCTGCAGTTGCTGGCTGACCGCCCACCTCAGAAGGCAGAACTGTTGCCAGCAACAGTACAAAAGTGAGGGTGGCACGATATGTTATTGCCACCCTTACTTCTGTGCTGCTGGCAAGAGTGCTGCCTTCAGACTTGAGATGCCAGCCAGCAGCTGCGCAGAAGAATAGTTATACCACAACTTCCTTACAATAGCCTTGTGATTCCTCCACAATCCTATTACGGGTTGGGACCCCACAGGTTACAACACTGTGAAACTTCACATTTAAATATCTGAAACCATGAAATAAATCCCATGACTGTGAAATTGGCCAAAATGGGATCATGAATTTGGTAGGGCCCTACTCATAAGTGCATGCTAATTATATAAGTGAGGAGACTGAGCCCCATTTTATCTACTGTCCTAGCTAATAGGTTATAAAACAGCCAGAAACAGACTAATAAAAAACCCTTTAAGAGTACAAATGGTTTTAAAACTGAACTGGGAGGTCATTTTCCAAGGCAATATATTTCCTTCCTTAAGGTGTTTAGCTCCGGGACCCCTCCCACTTTGCAGGATCCTAGATCCCATTCTCTAGTCTGAAATATCACTTCAGAGATATATGGCACTACATAATGATGTACAGAATTTGCACAATGCAATGATTCTCTGTTAAGATTTGTGTAAATAGCACTCAGAGCATATCCCTTAAGAAAGAAAAAGTTTTGCTTAAAGGGCCCTGTACTAGAGGTAAAATTATTTTTTCCATTACTTACCCCGTCCATGGCCATAATCCACAGTCTGTTGAATTAGAGGTGGCTTAGAAATCGATGCAGGTACAGACGATGAAATGGAAGTATGAACCGAAGGAGGTATGTTCACAGAAGATGACATTGTGGGTGGCAGCCCTGACTCTGTTTTACAAAATGCATACTCCAAATTTGCTCCTTTAGCTTCACTGCTATCCCAGAGTCCATGAAAAGAATCCTCATCCCAACGTTCTTGCTTCACAGCACCAGATGTTGGCTTTATAGCTGGAGTCTGACTTGGGGTTGCAGTTGTCACAGGAATCGGCGCAACTGGCCTCGTCACTGGGGCACCTGGTTTTGTCACCGGGGCACCTGGCCTCGTTACCGGGGTGGGCTGCCTGAACAATACTGGTGGCTTTATAATAACAGCAGGAGAAGATTTGATGGGTTGAGATTCTATTGGTGTCTCAGATGACAGCTGAGAAGACGCCTAGACATGGGAAACATGTTTGAATAAGGATTTGTAAACAGCTTCCCTCACCCCATGTGAAAACAGTAAACAAAGCCCTCTGAATAACTTGTGCCCCTGCTAGAGCTTTGCAACCCGACCCAAACATAACAGGACCCAACTACAAATGTCGGGATTCAGGTCAGGTCAGCTCTGATCACTTCCTCCTGCCTGTGGGACTGGCTCCATGAAGATGGATGCATGTCCTGCTCTTGTTGGGTGTTGCAATCTTGCTGCACTGCATGTTCTAGGGAGTGACTTGCAAGCCTGCTAACACTGCCTCTTATTCCTCAGCACACACAGAACAGCATGTTAGTGGGTAACTGGTAGAAGTGGAGTACACAACTGCTACCGGATCAATCCCATGAGCAGAAGGGGCTGGAGACTGACCATGAGCACCAGGAGCAGGGAGGCCATCCAGGACAATGCAGTGGAGATAAAATTAGCCCTGAGTAGACCCGTAGTCCCAGCCAAGAAGGATGCTTTCATGACACTCTAATACATATACAGTGAAACCTTAGTTATCCGGCACTCTGTTAACCAGAAAACTTTGTTAACTGGCATTGCCCCCAGCCACAATACTGTCACATCTTCAGGCGCACAGGCCTGGTTTGATTTACCATGACTGTCTTAACAATTGTTTATTTAAGTACTACTAATTAACTCAAAATAGAAATGTGAGACCAACTGCCTCACACTACAAAACTACCAATATTAAAAATTTGAGTTTTACTATTATTGTCCATTAGTTTTTCCCAAGTTGATGGGATCCTCGAATAACCAGATTTTTTAGATAACTGGAATGCCCTAATCCCCAAGCGTGCCGGATAACACAGGTTTTACTGTATTCCTAACCATTAGCATTTTCAGACTCTCTCATAGGAGGGCACAACTCCATGCTGATATCCCAAAAAGAATAGCCATTGAGGGTGGATTGGTGTGTGCTCACTATTTAAAACCTCTAAATCTATTCCATCAAATATGAATGAAGGCTTACTGTAATTGTTCTTATCCAAAATGACCGTTCCAAATTAAGCTTCCTCTTTAACCAAAGCAGTTTCTACCCCGGAGGAATTCTGCATCGCTGTGTGTATGCACAATCAATGTGCTGTGTGTATATTTAATTTTTTTACACAGAAAACTGTCAGAAAGCAGCTACAATACCAGCTTTTCCCCACCAGCTGGTACTGTTGTGAAAGAGCAGAGCAGCAGCTCACCGGACAGCTAGGGAAGAGAAAGAATCAGACTTCTTCACTGCACTTGTCCTATCAAATCAGGTGGTGAAACAAACAGCACAGGCTTGGGGGGGGGAGGGGGGTGCGCGCGCGCATCAGACTGAGGCTCTGGAGGACAGACTGGGGCAGGGGTTGAATTGGAGTGAAGGTACAGGGTCACATTGGGGATGGGCTGCAAGGCCATATAACAGAAAGGGAGTAGTTGACTGTAGACAGACAGACACAGACACATGGGCTGGGGGGAAGTGTGCGGGGATGGGGGCTGTATGAGGGGATACATGGGAACAGGGCTGGCTGATGGGGTGCAGAGACACGGGGATGGGGGGACTGGGTGTCTGAGTGGGGGTGGAGTGACCTAGGGGGACAGTGGCAGATATACCGGATGGAATGGGACAGGCTAGGTTAGCCAGGGTCTACATGGAGGAAGTTCCCTAACCATCCCTCCTCGCCCCACAAAAAAACCGTATCATACTTTTCCCACCCACATCCAATACCACTTTAAGTTCACACCCAGTCTCCTTCCCAATAACTACTTCTCTCTCTCTCTCTCAGCTCCTCCAGTAACCCTGACTCTGCTAAGCCTTTCCACTGCTTCTGAGTGGGATGGGAAATACAGTTCTGTATTGTAGTTTAAATTATTATTACTCAAAATTCTGTATTAATATGTAAAGTAAGGAATCTATTTGTCAAAAAGCATTTTCTGAATCTTTTTTATCATCTGTATTGTTACAGATATACTTGCTGACAGGAATTTTGAAATATACTACTAAAATATTTGAAACTGGTGCAATTATAAACAGAATTTTAAAAAATTGTGCACAGGATTTTTTATTTTTTGGTGCAATATTTGCCCAAGAGTATTCTTCCAGTATGTTTATATTAACCAAGTTCCATGTTCAAGATACCTGAAGAACTGCCACTAAACAGCAGCAGGTCTAAAACCACATCTACAGGAGGAAATGTATCTACTGCTGACAATGGGTCCAGCTGAACCAATGCTGAAAATGACTTAAATCACAACTATACACAGGAGTAAACCATGTTCTGCACTCTCTCACAAACCCTAATCAAGGACTGCTCAGAAAAAGCTGTGATCATCGTTTGGCCATTTTATACTTGTAATTAAACTGTTTTCAGCAACACTCTCTGCCAGCAACTCGTACATTTCCTACTATAAATAAAGCTTCCTCTCCTAAATAGTTTACTGGGTGCTCCCTTTTACCTTATTTAGTACAGATATTCTGTTTCCAGCCTGCTGATTCATTTACCTCTCTAATCCTGATTCTCAAGAAATTAGGCCTCGCCCATGTCCAATTATTCATATCAAGTCAGGCCTACTACATGGAAAGTAGTTTGTGCAAATTGAAGAAAAAAATTACTTTTTTAGATTTCTGCACAGATCCTTTGCCACAGAGTGGCTAAAAACACAGAAGCAGAGTTGCTTCAATATTTGGAAAACAACCAACCTAGAATAAAATGGGTCAGAGGAATTCACATTCTCCTGCCAGTGTCATTTATTTATTTACCTAATTCATAGAGGTACGGATAGCATTCAGTCATGTTTGTAAAGTGATTTAAACAGTAAAAGCAATATCTGTGATTTAAGTAGTATGTTGTTATACCCGCATTGTGCTGGGTGCTTTTCAAACACAAAGGAGGACATAGTCCCTGCCCCGAAGAATTGATAATTTAAAAAGACAAAGAGATGAAGGACAGGGGAAAGCTATATAGTGTGCAAACAGAGCGATCTGGGTAACAGGCACAGAACAACTTAGTTTAATTTCTAAAAAAAGTATAATCAAGGTATCTTCTTCTAGTGCAGGTAAGTGAGGTTTATGATCTAATGAGCGCTAGGAAAGAGCACCAGCACCATCAGACAATGATAAACACATTACTCCTTTGTCAGGGGATTATTTAAATCCATGGGGCATGCTAGAAATTGATCTGCTGCTATTATACTGGAAAATGCATGTCTTACTTCCCCTTGGTCTGTAAGAAGTGTGTCATAAGACACATCATTCTTGTCCCCAACACAGAAACAGAATCTCACTGGCTTATTCTAATAAAATACAAGCTCAAAAGTTATTTTTCCATATGAGTTTGTACATTACCAAAGTACAGTTTGAGAGGTTTAACTAGGTTCAAAGTATTATTTTACGAGTTACATACCTAAATGTTCTTAGCTACATTGTCTGAAGCCAGGAAATATCTTTCCCGGCAAGATTTCTGATTTTAACTAATGTAGGCACCCCATCTGAATTTTCATCAGCATTTAATTCCTTTAGCACAGATTTATTTTACCTGAAAAGCACGTGGCCTTGTAGTGGTGCTTTGTGATCTAGAAGTTTCTTGTGATGCCAGTTCAGGCAGCTGGGTATCAGGTACAAACTCTTTCAACTTCTGCATCTGTTCTTTTTGTTCCCTGCACATCAATCACAAACACTCTTACCATTCTATGACAAATGAACTATTAAAAAATAAAGGAATCAATACTTACACCAACAAAACATTAGCACTATTAAGAATCAATATTCACTACTGAGTTTACTGCTGGGATAAGCTAGGACATAAGCAGCTGGTAGCAACCCAACAGCCAGCATATCAGAAGAGAAAGCTTAGAACAGGGGTTAGCAACATATGGCTCTTTTGTCATTCCCAAAATACAGGCAACTTTTTAAATTAAAGTGAAAAATTAATTCAAAATTTTAGAAGTGCATAATTACTCATGTCAATATAATCTTTTTTTGGGTCTATTTCACCTTTAACCAGATGTGAAAGCAAGGCAGTTCACCTTGGTAAGAATTGGCTGAGCTGTGGCAGGTGCTGGCTGGAGCACTCAGCTCGTTTAAAGGGCTGGCTGAGGGCACACTGTAGGGAACATGTGTACACTCCCAGACGGGATAGTAAGAGGGTCTGGTGGCAGCAGATGCCTCCATCTGGCCACAGCAACCTGGCTCCAGCCCTCATCTGACTGCCGCAGTCTGTCCCCAGCTGCCATTCTCCTGGGACAGATCCTGCAGCCTCACGACTGCTGCAATAGCCTGGCAGCAGTGACCTGGCCTGGCCTGGCCTCCGGCTGCAACTACCTGGCCAACAAGGCCCCATTGGGGCCCAGTCCCGATCTGGCTGCAGCATCCTGTCCCCAGCTCCAAATCCAAGAGCAGGCTCTACAGTCCAGCCCTCATTTGACCATAGAAAGGGCTGACGGTGGGCCCTCCTCCAGCTGTGGGCATGGGTAGGAGAGGAGGCCACAATCCAGCTGCAGCAATCCTGGCCCGGCACCTCATCCAGCCACTGTTGCCTGGG